GGATGTGCTTAACAACAAAATTCTAAGTGAATAACAAGACCTAAATATTTATAACCTGTCCAATCATTTTATCATTAAATATTGTATAAAGAAAAGATATTCAACATTAAAATTGTGATGATTGCCTTTATCCACTGTGCCATGTGTCCTTGAGGAAAGTTCATGAGGACAGTAGTTACCATCGAAAAGGCACAGGGAAGCTACATTATGGTGGTGGGAAAGTGACTGAAGCCAAGATGCCTGTTCAAAACCAATAACATTGTAGATTCTTCTTCAGATTTTATCAAGAATCTCTAAATATGTAGCAGACCAAAGCATGGACAAATTTACATCAAACTGTATAGTCTACATGATTCTTTTTCTATGAAGAACTTTAAAAAAAAAAAAAAAAAAGTATAAAAATGCCTTGTTAATGTTTTAGATAAAATTACATCTAAATTATGGTCACACCCTAAATTAGGGTTGTACTTGCTCCAGTAATAAGTTATTATCCTCTATTTAAGGAGTAGAAAAACTGAAGCTCACTAACCAAATGCAACACTTTGACATTTAATGTGTGTCTTGTGGAAATATGTCGATCGAGTTCCTTTCCTCATCAAAGTTAATATAAAAAGGTAATATAATATATAATATAGAATATGCTTGAGGTGAAATGATTAGAAAAAAAATGAAAAGGGAAATAAAAAAATTAAAATTTTATAATTACTTGCTGAGAATGAACTGTGACCACACTGGATTAAGTTTAATGTTCCTGATTAGTAAAAATATTTCGAGATTTAAATCCTAATTGTTATGTTAGAATTCATTAAAGAATTGTTCAGTACTGAAAGAAGGAATGGCAGAAAGCAGAATGAATATTTCCATTCTACAACTTTCAAACAACTGAAATTTATGGTATGAAGATTTGGGTTTTTTTTGTTTTTTTTTTACTATTGTTCACCCAATACAAGGCCCAAGAACCACTCGAGGTAGAGAATTACTAAATGAGGCTGTTCTAAGGATATACAAGGCTGAAGCAAGAGGCACTCATTGTGAGGATATGTAGGATAGTTAATGGTTGGCCCTGGACTTGATGTGGTTAAGATTGTAGTAATTGGAGAAGCATTATTTCTCAGATCAATGATTAAAAAAGACCTTATATCTTAAAGGCAATCCTTCATCAGATCCTATAGACCAGCAATTCTCAACTGGCACACTAGTGTGCTGCACAATACTGTCACAGCATACATATATATGTGTGAGAAAGTAGTTATGGTACAATGTTAGTATTTGAATAAAAGAATAAGTAAACTTTTTTTCAAATAATTCTTTTCACTATTATTTGATTATGAAGAAGTATTAGCCACCATTCCTAGTGATTGAGGGCTCAAAATAAAACATTCGATGGTACCCATTTATAAATTTTGGATTTCAATGCAAAAAGGAATACCCCACAATAGCTAAAAAGTATTTATTGATTTTATTGCAATTTTCTAGTTATTTATGCCAATTAGGCTTCTCAACCCTAAATAACAAAGAAATAAGCAAGAAAGACTACACTGAACTAAAGAAGAAATGAGGGTCTGCTTATCACACATTCAACCAATTATTGAATAAATCATGAAAAAACACAATAAATAAGCTGCCCAAATAGTTGAATAGAAACATTGAAATAAACTAAGTTCATATTTGTGGGTGTATTTTTTTAAATCTATGATTTTATTTCATAACATTTAAATGCATACATTTTAAAAATTTTTAGTGTCATGATATATTCATTTGCTCTTAGGTGTGCCATTGCTTAAAAAGATTGAGAAACACTGCCATAAACTGACACTAGACAATCACAAACAAAGAGCTTTATCAAAGAAAAAGAAAAAAACAAAAAAAACACACGCATCACATGAAGACTTCCAACTAAAATGGATCAAGTGTAACTAGAAGAGAAAATAATGATATAATCAAGATGTTGACTCTCCACATGACTTTGAACAAAGGGTTTAGAAGGAAATCCCATTAATGTTAGAAAGAGTGATAACAGTGAACTTGAGAAGTTTATTTTCTTGAAAACTGTTTAACCTTTTAGCATCCAACTTGCCCAAATGCACCCCATAAACAGCAGATCTCAATATTCAACTCACTGTAACCTGCCCCATGTATACTCTGCAATAATATATGACATCATTGCAAATAACACAGGAAATCACAAACAGTAAGCCTTTGACCACAAACATTAAGACTTTGAGAGCAGCTTTGAGCATATTAAAAGCTAAAAGTTAAGAGAAAGATTATATAAATTTCACCGGAAAGAAGTAATGCTGTTTAGTCAATGAATGCCAAATTTTCTGTATGGAAATGGCCAATTTCATTATTACCATCACATATCAATCTTCAGTCAAGGGAATTCAATTAACTCTGACTTTGAAGAAAATTTTTCAGTTTGAAAACCAATCAGATTCAAGAAACTGAAATGATAAAAAAAATATCTATAAAAGCTATTTTAATAAATGAATCCATCAAAACCTTTTGTCAGTCTTTGAAAAGCAGCAGACAGAACCATACAAAAATTCTTCTGTATTTTAGAAAAGGAAAAGCAGAATATCTTAACTATGACAGACTGAAGAAGCATCACTACTTATTCTTTCTTGACCTCTGCACTACTACCAGGATGAAAGTAAGGCTACTTTTCTTCCAGACTGCCATTTTTTTATGTAACCATTATTCTAAGTTTGGATTCTAATTTCAATGAACAAAGAAGTCACAGAAAAGCCATGAAGATAACAGTTCTGCCTCATATAATCCTGGAAGAAAAGAGTTTTAGAATTTAAAAGAATGGCTTGAATTAATAAATATAAAACCCAAACACCAAATGGACAGTTGTAGACAAACATAGGATAAGTGAATCATATTCAATAAGCTAACAGGGTAACACCTTAAAGCCGGTCTGTAAACTACAATATTGAATTAACAAGAACATATAAACAAGTGATCAATAGGTTTACTAGATTAGTCAATGGATCCAGTTTATGATCCGGTACATTGCACTAATTAGTTGTAGCAACAGACAAGTTTTCATCATAGTTTTTATCAATGGTCCAACTGTAACAAGGTTTATTTTATTGTAAATAGATAGGCTGAAAGGAACGGCCCCAAAATTCTCTCTTTATTATCAAGGTTTTTTTTTTTTGTTTTTCTCTATAAAAAATACACAGAGAAAAGAACTGCAGATAATTTCAGATCATTTGATTATAATTTTGTAATTTTCGTTAATGGAATTGTAGGGAATAATGCAAAATGAATTCATACGATTATTATATAGACAATATAATTATCATGTCAACTCAAACAAATGCAAGATAAGATTACAGTATTGGATAAAAATAGATGAGTATAAAGTCAGTATATTAAATATAAAAAAAATGAACATATTGTGAACATAAGGTTAGTGGTACCCAGTGAAGACTGAACTTGCTCAACTAACAATAGTCTTATTATCCATAATCTCATCATATAACTTACTTTAATGGCTAATGAAAAAATAGAAAATAAACAAAAAATACTTTAAAATGTTTATCTATATAAGGAGTTGGCTGAAGAACTGAATACAGCGAATTGCTGTTTCAAATGACCCTTCTCAGATTTTGAATTTAGAGTTGTCCTTTTCCTAGAATGATTGTAAACCAAGGCTAAAGTCTGCCCTGCTATTTAACCCATAGCAAGAGGAGAGAGCTAAATTCATACTTTTCTCCCAAGAGTATTTATGGGAAAGAGAATCTAATGGACATAACTGAAATTTGAACTCAGCACTCCAGTTTCTCATTCCAAGCTGCTATCCATTGCCCCATCTGCACATCCATTGTGTGTGTTTGTAAATGCTCTTTTTACAGTAAGACTCCTCATGAACTTCTTTTGACACAATGCCTTCCTTGAAAGCAATAAGCCAACATTGGCCTTTATAACGCTTGCATGTTACCTGTACCATCAATTGTTGTGCATAACCTTTAGAAACAGCGTGTTTACCTCCTTAAAACCTCCTCCTCATGTCATTAAAAAGAGTAATTGCCCAAAGAATTCCAAGACACCACCACCAACAACAGTAGCACAAGAAACATCTACAATTACTTAACAACTGTATTAAGGACATTAAAAATTGGATAACAATCCATCACTGTCAATTTATCCAATTGTTCTTAACCCAAAACACAAGTTAAAAACAAAATGGATAGAAAATGAACTAATAATTGTGTTTAGGGTTGTGTTTCTTTGCATGCATTACAAAAGTTTCCCAGCAGAAGATAAACATGTTTTCAAAAAAAGGGATGCAAAACAATGTCAAGGATTAAGATAATCTTTCAAAAAAACAAACAAAAAAAAAACGGACAAACACTGGTCACACAATGGAGAAGCTCTTTTCTGAGTTTTTTTCTTTGTTGCATTTTTTTTTTTCAGGAAATTACTTCAGGCCTATTGAATATGTATTGCAAAGATTTTCAAAGCTTACCTTACATGGCTGCAATGATTCTTAGTTGAACAGATAAATAAAATGTTGACTACTTGGAAATATTCACACCAACTTAATGCACAAACACAACTAGGACATATTATTTTCCTTATTTTACTGTGCGTTCGAGTGAGGAAGACGGTAGAAAAGAAAGAGATAAAGATTAACTGCATTACTTGTGTCTGAAACATTTTTAAAAATCCTTACTGACTTGACTATTTGAATTACATATCTATCACATTTCTTACACAGTAATCTTTCCACTATAATCTAGTAATTCTTAAATCAGTGAAAAAAAGAGAAAAAATTAAAATAAAACAATCATAATAATGATGGTGGTGGTATGAACTCTACATCACCTAATTTTCTTTTATATACCAACAAAGACAGGCAAATCTGACAGGTTTTCCTTCCTGGTATATGTCTGTATTTTTACTAGGTGGGATGAAAACTTTGACATTAGTATCTGGTTGTGTATGTGCATGTACAAGTTGTAAGCAAGAAAGACATTTTGAGAGACTAAGATAGTAACAGAGTAAAACATCAAGGGAGAGAAACAGAGAAACAGAGTGTAGAAAGAAGGAGAGGGAAACAGAGTAAGGTGGAGAGAGAGAGAGAGAAACAGAGTAAGGTGGAGAGAGAGAGAGAGAAACAGAGTAAGGTGGAGAGAGAGAGAGAGAAACAGAGTAAGGTGGAGAGAGAGAGAGAGAAACAGAGTAAGGTGGAGAGAGAGAGAGAGAAACAGAGTAAGGTGGAGAGAGAGAGAGAGAAACAGAGTAAGGTGGAGAGAGAGAGAGAAACAGAGTAAGGTGGAGAGAGAGAGAAACAGAGAAGGTGGAGAGAGAGAGAGAAACAGAGTAAGGTGGAGAGAGAGAGAAACAGAGTAAGGTGGGAGAGAGAGAGAGAAAACAGAGTAAGGTGGAGAGAGAGAGAAACAGAGTAAGGTGGAGAGAGAGAGAAACAGAGTAAGGTGGAGAGAGAGAAACAGAGTAAGGTGGAGAGAGAGAGAGAACAGAGGGTGGGGGAGAGAGAGAGGAAACAGAGTAAGGTGGGGGGAGAGAGAGAGTGAAACAGAGTAAGGTGGAGAGAGAGAGAGAGAAACAGAGTAAGGTGGGGGAGAGAGAGAGAGTGAAACAGAGTAAGGTGTGGAGAGAGAGAGAGAGAGAGTGAAACAGAGTAAGGTGGGAGAGAGAGAGAGGAAACAGAGGTGGAGAGAGAGAGGAAACAGAGAGGTGAGAGAGAGAGAGGAAACAGAGTAAGGTGTGGAGAGAGAGAGTGAAACAGAGTAAGGTGTGGAGAGAGAGAGTGAAACAGAGTAAGGTGTGGAGAGAGAGAGTGAAACAGAGTAAGGTGTGGAGAGAGAGAGTGAAACAGAGTAAGGTGTGGAGAGAGAGAGAAACAGAGAAGGTGTGAGAGAGAGAGAGGAAACAGAGAGAGAGAGAGTGAAACAGAGTAAGGTGTGGAGAGAGAGAGAGAAACAGAGTAAGGTGTGGAGAGAGAGAGTGAAACAGAGTAAGGTGTGGAGAGAGAGAGTGAAACAGAGTAAGGTGTGGAGAGAGAGAGAAACAGAAGGTGTGGAGAGAGAGAGAAAAGAGTAAGGTGTGGAGAGAGAGAGTGAAACAGAGTAAGGTGTGGAGAGAGAGAGTGAAACAGAGTAAGGTGTGGAGAGAGAGAGAGAGCGGGAGAGAAACAGAGTTACAAATAAATAGTTAAAAGACATTTTGAGATGGATGAAATTACAATTTTTTGAAATAACCCAATTACAAACTATATTCTTGTGCTCCCTGGTTGAATAGAAAAATAAAAATAATTAGTTATTGACATTTATTTTCAGGTAAAATGTGGTCTTTCTTTTCAAAAGTCATCAGCATATAAATACCTCATAAATAATTAGTTACTGAACATTGAAAGAAAGATTTGCTTTTCTATAGAACATTAAGCAAAACTAATTTAATATCCTGGAGACTAAATATTTGTCACTTAAAATGATTAATTTTAGCCTTATTTACAATCAGACTAAGGTTATTATCTTTGTTTTTCTTATCACAACATATTGGCCATTTTCCAGCATCTATCTTCATGGAATTTTTAAACTGAATCCTCTATTTAATCTAATCTAATCCTCTAAAGGATAAAATGGTGGTTCAAGAATTTGGTGACATAGTAATTGTTAGTTCAACCTTGGGCTGATTAGTATAGATCTATGCTCTCTAGAAACAGGGCTAGCAATAACAGAGTAGTACTAAAAATAACAAGACTTATATATTCCAAAACATGAACAGCAGAAATTGAGATAAATATCAATAGGGAGGTTCAGATATAAAATATTATAAGGGTCATAATTCCAAGGGTCATTAATCAATCTTGCAAGTCCAATGTCAGAAAATGTCAGGTGTGAATCAAAAAGCATTAAAGATCTACATCAAAATGTAAAAACTATGTTCTTCACCCAGAAAGAATCAAGGAAATACGGTGATCCAAAGTAACTTTCTTTTATTAGGCTGGGAAAGGTTGTGATTGGTAGGAAAGCACAAACAACTGACATATTTTGAGGCCTACTAAAGTCAACCTGATTTTGATTCCAATTTTCTTTATCAACAGAGAACACAAATTATTTTTCAAGGTGAGACTTTGTTTTCTTATCTGTCACCAGAGAATGGGGATAATCTACTCCCATAAATTAAACAAAAGATTCAATATGTATCTATATTTCTGAGATGAGGTATTGTAATTATTTACATTAGTCAAACTATTGTCTTTGTCTTTCTTGCCATATTCATGACGTTTCCAGCCTTCTTCAGGTAATTGGAATTGAGAACTTAACCCTTTACTTTGTCCACCAAAGCAGATTATTCTAATTCCACATGCCATGCCTCTTCTGGATGACTTAGTTACCTTCCTTTGACTCAACTCTCCAAGTTTTGTTCACCATTGCAGTACTAAATTCAAGTCTTTGGGCCAATCACTGGATACAACTAATGCTTTTATCCACTGACCCATGTGTCCTTGAGGGCAATCTACTCTGGTGGATGAAATAAAGGGTTTAGTTTGAAATTCCAATCACCTCAAGAAGGCTGGAGCATACAATGGCTGAAATGTCAGGAATATGGCAAGAAAAATGAAGAAAGTCTGACTAATGTAAATAAAAGGTTCACTTCAAAATTCATTGAAAGTTACCCAGATCAACAGACACTTGAAGGTCAGAGAGAAGAATGGTACAAACTAAGATAACAACAAAGATGAAAATATTTGTCAAAATGTAAATGATGTAAATGATCACAGAAATTTAAACAGGAAGTGATCCTGTGATAATAACAATAAAGATGAGGATATTAGTCCAAACGTAAATGATAACTCATCCCTGAGATTCAAACAGTAATTTGAGTCTTGTTTTGTGCTAAAAAGTATATATTTTAATGCCATATCCTTTGCATTATTGAGAAAGTGTAGTGGTTTCCTGTTGCCTTCTTCATAGTTTGAATTCAGAGTTTTCCTTTGCTGGTTGCTATCCAAAGCCAGAGAGCTTAGTCTACCTTGCTTGTGAACTCAGAGATTGGAGGGGCTTAGAAGGATTCACATTTTCACCACAAGGAATTAGTGCAAAAGTGAATGCAACAGACCAACCCAGAATTTGAACTTGCCTCACCAATTCTACTATCAGCAGATCCACTCAAAGAACTACAGCTTCATTATTGGACTCATGCCTGCATGTTTAGAAACAGACTTTTTCTGATTAATGTCAATTTATTATGAATGATAGAAAATGATAAAAGGATTACAATAAAAACAAACAAAAAAAGCATATCAACAATTATTAACAAGCAGAAACAGAACAAGCAATAACCAAGCAGTACTAAAAATAAGAACTAGACAAGATATCATTAGACATGGGCAGTGGAATGAGAATAGTCTACCCTAGTAAATATGGGAATTCCCTGTAAGTTACCCAGATCAATATACACCTGATGAAGGCTAAAGAAAATTACAGCTGAAACATTTAGATAACAAAGATGAAGACAATTATCTAAATGTAAATAGTATAAATAATTATTAATAAGTAGTCAAGTTTATTTACTTCTAATAATATGTTTGTTATTTTCCCTGTGTACAAATATACAAGATACTACCAGAAAATTCAAAAACTTTATGTAATTAAATGATTTCCTTGAGAAATAGAGATATTGGAAATTAGGTCCTTTATCTATGAGAGGAGAAAGTTTACAATATGTGTAAAATGTTTGGTGTGACACAGGAAACATTAAATAACTTGAGAGATGAACAGTTTGAGCAATCCATTCTATTTTGCCAAAACATTTGGGTAGCAATTCTTGTCTAAATTAACTATGGCCAAAATCAGTTCAACTTAAATGTTAAAACTGTGATGTTATTTGAGCAAAAGGTAATTGCTCTGACGAACTTTCCTCTATGGTACCCAGACTTTATAAATTTAAGCACAGTACTAGATTGTCAGAAATGTCTCATTATTTTACACTTGAAATTGCTAGATGGAACCGTAAGTTCTATGCTAATAGTTTCTTCTTTTGTACTTTTTGTTTATGGAATTCTTCTGGCTTTCTGTTTTGATCTATCAAAATTTCAATGCAATCTCAATCGTTATCTTCTGCATTCTTAATTCCTATTCTTCTATTGTTTTCTCTCTTTAATAGTATTTTTTTTACTCATTCTCTCACACTCAGTAACCCCTTGTGGGATGAAATGATTAAAAAGAGAGAAAATATAAAAAATAGCATGGCTATAGAATGAGAAAAAAATTTTTTTTTTCTAAAGAATGATTTCCCTAATTAGTTAATTCATTCAACACTAATTGCTGCTTCCAAATTAGGTACTGAATATACAGCAGTATTATTAACCTTGCTCTGGGAAGGGGGGGACATCTTTTATGAGTTTTGCTATAAAAACTGCAGTTATAATCAATTTATGTGACAGGCTGATAGTCATGTTATGGCTAGACATGAGGAAACTGACATTTTGCTCTTTCTAATAACTTCTTTCCATTGACTTTAATGTTTGGGAGAATTGTTTTCCTGTTCATTGGCCTTGATATAAAACTGATTAAAGTATGTAAAGATGAAAAGAATCTTCAGGCTCACTAGATATCTGTTCAGATTAGCATTTCTAATCAAATATGTCTGGAGCAGTATGTTACTATATTCTCCCTACCACCACCTATGCATTTATTCAAAGTTAGTTGAAATCCTTCTTTAAACAGACTTAAAAAAATATTCAATTACCAATAATGTTTCAAGAGCATCTGAGAAGATTTTATTCTTCATTTGTCTGTAATCTAAAATCATATCAACTTTGAAGAGAATTTTTTTACTCTCTTTTCCAATTCCAAGACATGACTTATGTTACCATCATAAATATAAATAATTTTTTTCTCTATATTTTAATGTTTGAAAACCAGCTATGCTTGGATTTTTATTGACTATCTTTTGACACAAAGTATCATTTTGTTTTCTAAGTAAATATTCTAAAGCAATGGTTATCAACCAAGGCAATACTTTACAGGAATTGACTTGTTCTCAAGCCATTTTTACACATGGACCCTTTTCACAAAATTTCAGCAAGATACTCAAAATTATAATTTGTAGAAATATAAATATTTCAACAATTTTGAACCTACTAATCTGTAATTCTAATTCCCACCTGAAACTCTAAAATTCATCCCACTTGTTGGTCAAGAACTACTGTTGATAATGTAAAGTCAATATAAAATTGTATGTGTATCATATAAACATTAATCTGCAAGATATGCTATCAAACATTATTTTGCATATCAATACCTTTAATCAAGAAAAAGGATAAGAGTATAAAGTATCTACATTATAGATAATCTGGTCAGATAAACTATTATTCAATGTGCAGAGATAAGAATAAAAGAAAAAGACAAACAGAAATTCTACAAATGACACTTTTGTTCTGTGCATCTTTGTAATAGTAAAACAGAATTTAATGATGATTTCTATGTAATGTTGGTGAATCATTTTTTTCAATTTGTCTTTTGAATTATTTAAACTATTTATATTTGAAGAACAGTCCAGATGTAAATAGTGTAAATAATGACAATTCCCCATCCCAGAAATTCAAACAGAAATTGTCTTTTGAAAATCAGAAAATTAAAATAGCTTTATATTATCATTCAAATGAAGAGCCATTTTATTTCAAAAATAGTTTCCTCAAAAATAGTTACTTTAAATATAAAGAAACTATACAAAATCAAAAGGAAATACAATGTGGGTGACAATATTAAATTTTAAAAAATTTTTAAAATTAATATTTATCAGAATAAAAAATGTAAAAAGGAAAAAAATTACAAAGGAAGAAAACATTTGTTTCAATTCGATTTAAAGACTAGTACACACAAACCCACAGAAACAATATTTTTTTTTTTAATTTAAGTTTTTGAACAGTTTTGTCTACCCAATTTCACCCACAAGGCTTAGGTCAATCTTTAGTATAGTTTTCCAGCACTTCCCAACCATGCCACATGATATTAAAAAATATTTTTACACTTTCACAGCACCTCGACCACAACCTGGGGGTCAACCACTTACAACTGGGACCCAACAGGCACCACCACCCCAAGTTAGGGCCAAGTCAGGAACACCAGAAATCAAGAGGTGGCTCCATGCTCCTCAAAACCTCCTGATCAGAGGCCCTGCTGTTCGATGCAGCTTATTGTCCCACTCTGGATGG